ATCATTATAACCCCAACCATAGAGACAATTATCATGAGTGAGGGCTAACATAAAGTCGTATCCATTAAAGAATTGTGTGATATTCTTGTGACACAATCTGCGGATCACTTGGATTTCATTGACGTATACATTGTGTCCCAAACCAAGAGATCCCCAATAATTAGATCCCAAACCGTAAACCATGTCATCATTTTTTATAAACAATACATTATATCCTCTCCTGTCGTCGAAAACATGAAACAATTGAATCGATTTAATCATATTTTCTTCACTTTTATGTCTATTTTCGTCGACAAGTGTTTCATTGTGTGAATCATTGGACTCGTGTTCCGTAGGCCTCACATCACTTGTATGTATGGATCGGCTATTACTGGACTCCACTCCCGTTTGTTGTGGGTTTTTGTTTTCACTCATATTTTACACACAATTAATAAATAATTCTTATTATATGCGTATAATTAGTGAATTAATTGTTAATTAAACATAAAACACATTACAAACAAAGATACTATTCATTACATATATTTTTATTGTAATAAGAAATAGTTATTTACGATATAATGATTGTTTTGAACCCATTTTTTACACGCAATTAAAAAATGATTGCTATTATAAATTATATGTATAATCAGTGAATTAATTGCTTAGAAAGTTAATTGTACATAAAACACATTACAAACAATAAGACATTTTTAATAAGAATTTCTTATTTACAATGATTGTCATGACATTTGTATCATATCTATAGATATATAGTATTAAAAAAATATTTATAAATTGTCATAAAGTAAAGCGCTGTAAATAAAATACAATTACGTTTGAGTCGCGATAATTAAAAAAATTATACCTTTATTTATCTCCTAGCTAATTTTTATTAATAAAAATCTTATAATCAGTGAATGTATGTCGAAATTTTGGCTGAAATTAGGCGACCTTCTCGATGGACACGTAGGACGGGTAGCATATTGTGAACGCCGGTAGGGGCTCGTCGTGTATGCGACTCAACCGTATGTTGACTACAGTCCGACCGCTAATGTATTGTGCGATTAGTTTCCACGACTGCTATCGGAATCCCGAAACACACCTAATGTTATGCAAAGTTTTGCAACGATGTCAACTTAATGTAAATCAAAATAACCTGCAAATATGAATGCCTAGTAGATTTTAATACTTGTTAACAAGTACATTTCTAGACAGTATCGAATTTTCACTAAACATTGACATTTGTTTTTGTAAAAACCTTTTCAATTGAATAAACAATTTAATAATACTATACATGTATAAAGTCAGTCAAGTGAATCTGTTACAATCATTTGTTTAATAGCTCACTTATTAATTGTAGCTAAAATCTATACTCTGGCACATTTAAAGTTCATTATGAGGTAGCCCTGAATAAACAAGAATATTCTGTGATATTGGATGATATGCTGGACCTATAGTCAGCGCAAAGATTACTTATGTTACAATGATA